TTTTTTTTTTTTTGTATTGTTTACTGTTACGTGCGTAATCATTTCAGGAAAGGCGATGAAATTCAAAAACTCAATTTTATACAAACATTACCAAGCCTCCTGGCCACAGACACAGAATCATGTATAACACGCGTGATACCAAAAGTGCAGCAGTCACTAGCCACTGCGTCCACGGAATTCCATATTGCAGCTTCATCTACATTCAAAACGATCCTAGAGCAGAAGCTTGTCAACCATAATGTCTTCAGTCGAACATTCCTCCAAAGTATTTTAGATTCGCTTGAGAAGCGTGATCCAGGTAAAGAAGTTTCATTCATTTGTACGATTAGAGTTGCTAGTTAAAACCTATATCGACAGTTTCATGCATTTGGTATTCTATTCTATGTAACTAAACATGTATATATATACATTTAAAGTTATCTGTCATGCATGGCTGGAGACCTTACTGGATGTGATAGAGTTACTGCCGGTAGAAGTCATAAGAAAGCAGGTTTGTATAGATGATCTTAGACATTGATATTCAGAAAACTGTATCATTTAGAAGGGCAAACATATCGCAATTTTTATGGCATATATGCAATCTTACAATATCATTATAGTAGATCAGTGATGAAGTTGATTTATTTTTGTTACTTGGCAGACTAAGCATCAAGTACTCTATTAAAATTCATTTGTTGCAAAGAGAAGTTATGTATTTGACATAATTTCATTAATAAATATAATGATTTCTTGGGATATTACTCAGATGTAATAATTAACATCATCTGGATGATAATAGAAATAAAATTATACAGATTCTTCCATTGACTGTAAGCAAAGGACAGTTGTCACAGCCTATTCACTCCAGGATAATATGCAGCAAGATATTAGGAAAGATTTGTACAAGATTTGAGTCTGCTCTGTGAGTATGTTTCATCTTATCAAAGTCTTTGATATTTTTGTTATTGGGAGTAGCAACTCTTTGACGCTATTCTTAAATGAATAATGAAACATACAGAAATTGAAAAATATGCACAATATATAAAAAGACTATCATTTTTCAATAAAGTCATTAAATAAGTATACGTATTAAAATTGTTGTCAGGATACAGAAGGAAGTTCTACCAATGGTACACTCCCTCTGTCAGGATGTAAATAGTGAAGTACGAGCTAGTATCTGCTTGCAGCTACGTTTTGTTGCTGAAGGTCTTGGTGCTGAGTCTGTAAAATCTGCTTTGCTACCATCTTTCGTAGAATTAGCAAGTGATGAAGAAAGCAATGTAAGATGCACCTCTGTACAAACAATAGCGTATTTGCTACCTCATCTTCAGGAAGGTATGCTTAATGATTAGTTGTGCATTACAAGCGTTCCAAGCTTTTCATAGCGAAATGTGTTTCAATTAATTTTTAAACCCGAGTCTTTCAAGATTGATACAATGTAATAACAATTATTTGCAGATACAATAAAAACTATCATAGTGCCGCTTGTTAAAAAATTATGTGAAAATACACAGTCTGTACAGTCGGATAATAATGTAATATGTGTCATTGCCCAAGAATTTGGAAAGATTGTACTTGGCCTAGAAAGTAAGACGTTTTATGAATTTACATTTTGCTACTTATGATCGCAATAATGATATTCGATTGATATTTTAGAATGCTTATTACCTGCGGAGAAAACATGGTTCTTAAAATATTTTCAACAACTTGCACAAATGGGTATTGTTTTAATGAAGAAAGAATCAAAACCTCATATTCCATTTGTAAGTTTACACGGTTTCCATTTGATTCTATTAAAATTGAATACGTTTTATAGCGAAT